CTCCCTCCCTCCTGCTTGAGCTTCACTCCAGTACTTGCTGCCCCCTGACGAACCAGCCCCACGTTGGGCGCCTAGTCCTGTGGCACGGCTGATGCTCACTGTCGCTCTGCCCACTGCCAGGAGACAGGGGAAGGCCCTGACCAGGGCCCTGCTCTTCTCCCAACTCCCTCCTCCCCTCGAACTGCAATAAAAGCTGTGTTGCATTGCAATGTTGACCTCTGGTTTTTCCGCATTCTTCCTCCATACTCAATACCCCGAGTGGCAGCCTTGGCTCCCTGGGCCATGCCCGCCAGGTCCCACCTGGAGCCTTGCCAGCGTGACCTGTGGGAGATGCCCCCCTTCCTCCTGCCTGCCCTTGGCAGCGTGTCCCTCCACCAGACGGTCGCCTGCAGTGGGGGCCGTGCTCGTCTCCTTCAACAACAGCTTCTCCCTCTTTGCCCTCCCTGTCTTCTCCCCACTTTGGCCTCCTGCACTCTGCAGCCCAAGAAGAGCTGTTGGGCACTAGAGTGAGTTTATTGCCCGCTCTGGCCATTCCCCAAGGGCTGCCTGCAGCCCCAGGGCTGCGGGGATTGGCATGCCAACAGAGCCTCCCCGAGGGCAAAGGCCCAGCTCAGAGCCACTTGGGAGGCCATGGTCAATAGCGGGAGGGGGAGCAACCCCCAGAACCTCCCCACATTCCTGCACCCCTGCACCACCTCCTTCTCCTGTTTTTCCTCTGTCTCCTGCTGCTCTTTGGAGCACTTTTGGCCCCGTCTTGCTCCACTGCTGGGACAGAAGCTCTTCCCGCCATTCCCTCTGTCACCCACCCTCCCACCCACCGCCTGGGGACGCAGGTCTGCCCAGGAATGACAGGAGAGCTTCCCAGCGCCCGGGTCTCTGGACCTAGCCTTCGTTGGTCCTTCGCTGCCCTTCCTCGCACATCAGCCCATAAAGTAGCCCACACTGCCACGCCCGCTCCGAGCACAGCCACAGCAGCCATGGTGGGCGACACCAGAACCCCTTTCCACCACTTTGCGCTCAGGACACGCACAGGGGACTCCACATGAGCCAGGACATTGTGGATGGCCGCGAGTCAGTGCAGGGGGACCTGGCCAGATGTGAGGATGGGCAGAGGTAGAAACATCCTGGAGGGGAAGAGAAGAAACACAAGCTGCAGTTCCGGCGGTGGAAAAATCCAAATGCCTGCTCTTGCCATTTTGCTGCCGGTTTTCCCATCCACTGTGTTCACAACTGCGGATGAGACATCTTCTCCTGAGCTCGCCAGCTGTGCCCAACGTGCTGCCACGCTGCCCTTCCTGATGGCTCTGGCCGGAAGTGTCTCTGTCCAAGACCACCTTGCCGTGCTGGGATCACAAGATGAGAAGATACTTGGGGAAGGGAGGGACCTCAGGAGGGTAGGCAGTCCAACCTCCTGCTCAAAGAGCTTGGTGCTTCGTGTGGCTGGATACCCGTGGCCACTTCATGGCTCTGAGAGGAAACTTGGCTGTGCCTCTCTCACCCCTTCCCACTGCCCCCCTCCTCTGGCTGGGCACAGGGGCATGGTAAGCAGCCCTCTACCTGCACTGGTCCTCTCTCCACTTCCCTGGACCTCCAAATGCGACCCATAACAAGCCAATGAAAGGAGGTAATGCCAGGCATGCTGGTTGTGCAGAGCATTTGCAAGAGCTTCTGCAAGACACCTATGGCACTCTCCCGTGTCCAAAGAGGGCTTTGGGAATGTATTGTGTTTATGGCTGGTGGGAGACCAGAGGAAGCTCAGTGGCATGTGCTCTACGAGACCCAGCTGGGACTGTCGTCGTCAGTTGTAACAGGCTGAGCAAACTGCCCAAATGCTCCGTGGGAGATTCAGGCAGCCCAGAGCACCACGCCCTGAGGTTTGGGGGAAGTAGGACAGAAGAAGGAAGGATGAAGAAAAACCAGAGGTCAACATTGCAATGCAACACAGCTTTTATTGCAGTTCGAGGGGAGGAGGGAGTTGGGAGAAGAGCAGGGCCCTGGTCAGGGCCTTCCCCTGTCTCCTGGCAGTGGGCAGAGCGACAGTGAGCATCAGCCGTGCCACAGGACTAGGCGCCCAACGTGGGGCTGGTTCGTCAGGGGGCAGCAAGTCCTGGAGTGAAGCTCAAGCAGGGCAGGAGGAAGGCAGAGCTGGGCCCCAAGCAGGCACGAGGCATCCGAGCTCTGGAGCCCAGCTATGCCGAAGCGATGTCCTTCCCTCGGGTGTCGTGTCGGGATGTGCCAGGGGCTTTTCCGGAGCTCTCCTTCATCTGTGGCCGCACCCAGTGTGAGGCTTAGCAGGGCCCGCAGTTGCCACTGAGGTACCTGTGGCCTCGGCGCCAGCCGCCATAGCCGCAGCTCCCAAGGCCCCCCTAGCCCCCAGAA